GGAGTGGCTAAGAGCTGATCAGGCCCCTATGTCCTCCTCCAAGACACACGCAGAGTTTGCTAGGCTCCACAGCGCGCTCAGAGTTCCCCACGAGATGGCTGTAGAGTCCTCCAACTTGGGCGGAAACTGCTCTGACTTTTTATCGGCCTAGGGAGCCAATTGCTAGCCGCCACGTAGGAATAATTTAGAATCAGCCAATAATGGGGTACAAATTTGCATGTGTGTGGCGGGAACTCTTTGCACCGGGGATTTCTCTCTGCAGCTGAGAAATCCACCGTGCAAAGAAAGCTCCATGTGGCGGGAAAATTCCAATGTGCCGAGGCACTAAAAATCATTGGGTTATGACAGGAGTCACAGCTGCTTAAGTGGGGGACAAGACAAGATGTACCTTCAGCAAAAACAGAACTGAACAGCCACACTGATGTGTCAGGGGGACTGGTACCCATCCCTTGGAGGAGATGCCCTGGAGGCAACAAGAGATGGAAAAGGAAATAAGTAGCACAATGGATGGAGCAACTTAAAAAATAGTGTTGGCCTGAGAACTGGAGAGCATCTGAAAAGATTGAACAGCCAAGCAACTTCAGGACTTGGGGCTGTGCTGAATGGAGAGAGAATGGCTAAGCTAATTTAGGGGGTACTTGGGACTGAACTGGGCAAAAGGATGGCTTAGGCCTTTGGAAGGAACAGGGTGTGGATGGCCTCTGCCCCAATAACTGTCTTTATTGCAGAGGAACCATCTACTTTGCTACTAGGAATCTGGGGTGTACTCTGTTCCCCCCTGAAAGAGAAAAGTCCCTTTTGCAAGAGCTGAACTAGAAGGCAGCTCCCTGAAGTACAGCCATGAGGCTTTCACCAGCAAACATCAGAGACCAAAAGATAGGGGTCTCAGAATCAGAAGGAGCTCAGAGGAACCAGTTAAGGCCAGGAGACCCAATCAAGCTCTACCATACAGCATCTGTGGCAAATGTCTATAGTCAAGGCTGCCTAACATGTACCACTGTAAACCACTACAACACTGCCAAACTTTACATTGATAATTCCATAAAAGAGTGTGCCATGAGGGTTGCAGAGGTGTGTTGTGAAAAACACTCTTCTGTCTGTTAAGCTGGGGGGCACAGGGTGAGTGCAGAACAGGGTGCAGAGTAGGGCATACCATGGCCATGTTCTCAGGGTGCAGGCAGGGGCATTGTGACAGCAGTTTGCAGATGTCTGGTACCAACACAGCTGGAATCTGCATTTGCACTGCAGGCAGGGAGCATGGGGACTGGGAGTAGCAGCAGCATCGCCAGGATCAGATGTCTGCAAACTGCTGCTGCTGTATCCTGCCAAACCCTGGGAACATGGCTGCACAATGCAGCTGGAAGCTTGGTGATGTGCTCTACTGCCCACTGGGCAGGTATAGATGCGGGACTCCCCTTCTCTTCCCTCCCTTCCCAGATCCAGTCAATCACAGGCAACCAGAAGCCCCCATCCCCGCCCTGATAAACTCTGGGGAGCCCTTGCCAACACATCCCTACAGCCCCCTTCCCAGCCCTGCCACGCTTGCACCCCAGAGCTTCTCAGGGCAGTATGGAGTTTGTTTACAACCCCTTCTCCCCTTCTGCACCAGATCCCAGGGATGCAGAGCACAGCAGCTGTGTGCACCATTGGAGAAGCTCCTGCCCCTGTTTATCCTGATAGTCTCCCCCCAAAGAAAGCTTTCCTCACACCCATGCCACTGTTTCTTTGCCACTGGGGAGCTGAGCCAGGACCAGACTTCTGCAAACTATGCAGTGCCACCACTGTTTTCCTCCACTCCCCTTTTCAGGTGTAAGAGTGAAGCGTTCTGCCAATTTTAATCCAGAAAAAAAAAGTGTAGCTTAGCTTTCAAAAGTTTAGGAAACACTGCTTTCTACAGCACATTCCCATGCTAGGGTTTTTTGGTTTGGGGTTTTTTGTTTTTTTTTTTAGTTTAACATTTTTACTTCCCCATCCCAAGAACAAAGTTACTGGGAAATAGTAGAGTTAAAAATTCTTATAACCCTATCATATTAATATTCATGCTTTGGAGCAGGAATTTAAAATCTGGAAAAAAGTGTACTGTATCAGGGATTTGCTTTTTGCCATGTCTAGGAATATCTACTCTACGGTGGCCACATTATAAGCTCTGAAAAATCTCACATAACACATGTTCTGTAAAGGCAGAGCACTTAAAGTCAGAGCACTAAAGTCTCAGATATTTCTGTCTGCACTCTGCATGCTCTTCCCAATTTCTAGAGAAGATGTGTCAACTGCCAAGGGAAGTGAATTCAAGTAGACCTTCTGCCCGTGTTCTCGATGATCCTCTTGCTTAAACAGAATAGAGGAGGAAATAACCTGACAGATCCAGAAGCTTAGAGAGGTATAGGATGTAGCCATCTTGGTCTAAGGACATAGGCAGACAAGGTTCTTTGGGTAAATCTGATATATTTTATTAGACCAACTCAAATAGTGGGAAGCTTAGAAAAAAGACAGACAGGAAGAGAAATAAGGCAAAAGCAGGAGACAGGAACTGAGGGTAAAGAA